TCTAAATTAATTGTTGCATTTCTAATCCCACGCACAGTGCCAGGGAAATGTAGACCAACTGCTGTTGCTACTGTAGTTGTTGTTGGTGGTCGTGCTGTGGTTGCTGCTGTTGCTGATGTTGCTGTTACTGTGACTCTTGCTGTTGTTGTTAGTGTTGTTGCTGTTGATGCTGTTGGTGGTGGTGGTGTTGTTGGTGTTGTTGATGTTGCTGGTGTCGGTGTTGGTGTCGGTGTTGGTGTTGGTGGTGGTGGTGATGTTGTCGTTGGTGTTGGTGGTGGTGTTCTTGTTGTTCCTGCTGTCGTTGCCGTTGTTGTTGGTGGTGTTGTTGTTGATTGTGTTGCTGCTGCTGTTGTTGGTGGTGTTGTTGGTGTTTCTGCTGTTGATGGTGTTATTGGTGTTGGTGGTATTGCTGCTGATGTTGCTGGTGTTGCTGTTGTTGCTGCTGCTGTTGTTGATGTTGGTGTTGCTCTTGTTATTATTGTTGTTGGTGTTGTTGGTGTTGTTGTTGGTGTTGTTGCTGCTGTTGTTGCTGTTTGCTGTCGTCGTCCCCCCCGCGACCCGGCCCGCGACCTGCCCGCGACCCACCCGCGACCCACCCCGCGACCCGCCCGCGACCCATCCGCGACCCGGCCCGCGACCTACCCGCGACCCATTTTGCGACCCACCCACATTGTTTTAGCGAAAAAATTGGCGCCTGCGGCGGGCTCACTGCATAATTCGTTAAAAGTTAGGCGCAACTGCGGGGTGCTACGCAGCAAAATCCCAGCGTTTATCTCGAAGAAGACATGCAGGATGCATAGGACGCCTGCACTGTCGTCCACTCCACAACGTCCCAATACTTCATGGTGTGGACGGAGCCTCTAAGTCGTGGTGCCGATCACCGTGAAAGCAGGTCCCAACACGCATCCGCCACTATGAATACCCAACTGCAAAGAGCAACAACGGTCACAGAGCCCAGTAGACCCAAACCAGCTTCACGGAGGCGCTCAAGTAGGCACAACGGATTTGGTCCAGCCTTGGGAACATTGGCGCGGCGCGCGAGCTTGAGCCAAGCAGGCTGGACCCGAACTGGCATTTGAGGAGGGAGGCGGAGGAGGGAGGGCGGGAGGAAAGGAGGAAGGAGAGGGAGAGGGATATCCGACGAAGGCATCTACACACCACCACCGTGCCACGCCAGGGCCACCCTGGGCCGCCCCCCAGGATGGTGTATACACCCTCCTGGCCTCGGCCAGGAGGGCGTATACACCATGCCAGGGCCAGGATGGCCCCGGCCTGGCACGGTGGGATGAGTAGGGAGGAGGAGGGAGGGAGGGAGGAGGAGGAGGAGGAGGAGGAGGAGGAGGAGGAGGAGGAGGATTAGGAGGAGGAGGAGGAGGAGAGGAGGAGGAGGGAGGAGGAGGAGGAGGAGGACCCTTCCGAAGCGAAGCCCGTCGCCACACTCTGGCAGCCGCCCCGCGGCCGCTCCCGTGCGCCCCTGCACGCGGCGACGACGGTCGGCGGGCGTTGCGGGCCGCGACCGGCTCAAGAGGGAGGAGGAGGAGGAGGAGGAGGAGGACGAGGAGGACGAGGAGGAGGAGGAGGAGGAGGAGGAGGAGGAGGAGCAGGAGCAGGAGCAGGAGGAGGAGGAGGAGGAGGTTGGGTCGCAGGCGATTTTTGTTCCCCCAGTTCCAGGGCTCATTTCGATTCCTCCGATTCGATCTCGATCTCGATGGCCTCCGATTCCGATCCGATTCGGCTTCGGATTCCGATTTGGATACGATGCCTCCATGGAGGCCTACGAGCCTGCCGATTTCTGCCGATTCGACTTCTCCCGACTCGGCTGCCGATTGTTGCCGATCCGATTCACTTTGATCGCCGATCCGACTCATCGATTCGATTCTGGGCTCTCCTGCAGTCCCCGCGTTCCGCCCGAAGAGTTTGACCGTTCAGAAAGAGGGAGGGGGCAACTCTGGGATGCACCCCAAGGCGGACGCGCCCCGCATCGAGGACGTGGACGGCCCCCTCCCCCTTATCGTACATCCCAGGGTCGGGCCCCAAATTGCTGGCCCAACCGGGGACCCCACGAAGCCCGGGGTGTTTTTACTAGAAGCCGTGTGACGCGCACATGGGCAATGGAAGGGAGCTAGCGAGATCGGCTGTACTCTCGCGCCGTGCTCTTCCAGACGCTTGCCGGCATGGCAGAAGCCCGGGGCAGGGGTCGACAGATCCCCTGGGACTGAGCGGGGGGGCACGCCGGGGCGGGGGGTCGGCGAGCGGGGCGGGCGAGAGGGAGCGGGCGACCGCCCTCGGCCGTCCGCTGCTGCTCCGGGGCGCGGTGTCCAACATCGGCCCGAGTTCCCCGGGGGCGGGAAGAGGATGGGTAGGGGAACAAAAAGTGGCATAAGCATAAAAACTCAGAGGTCCGCGCGGATTTCTCGAGTCGGCGCTGGGCGCCCCTCCCTGGCGCGCGGAGCGCGCCAGGGGCGGCGCCGGAGGCGCCGCCAGGGGGGCCCAGCGCGGATCCGAGAAATCCGCGCGGACCTCCGAGTTTTTATGTTTATGTCACTTTTTGTTCCCCTAATGGGGGGGGGGCAGGCGCCGGCGGGCCAGCTCACGGTCGACGCCGCGGCGGCCGCGATGCGGGCCCCGGGGGCGCGCGAGCTGCCCCCCCCCCCCCCCGGGCGGCGCCGCCCGGGGTTTCGTCGACTCCCCGTTGCCCAGGGCCAAGGAGCAAGGAGAGAGGAAGGAGGGGGGCGGGGAGGGGGGCGGGGCCCCCTCCCTCCCTCGGGCTCGGCGCTCTCCCCTCCGGGCGGGGCGCTGCGAGGTCGGCCCGAGGGGGGCGGGGAGGGGGGCGATGGGTTCTCCCTTCCCCTGGCTGCTGGCTGCCGCCTGCCTGCCGCCGCCTTCGCTGCGGGGCTCTGGCTGCCGCCGCCTTCGCCCGCCGCTCGCTCGATCCCGCGCTCTCGAGAGTGCACCGCCGCGGCCGAGCGCGGCGGCGGGCGGTGCCGCGCTCGTCGAGCGCGAAAGGCAGAAAGGCAGGGGGCGGGGAGGGAGCGGAGGAGGAGGGGATCAGGGGCAACGATAGGGGGGGGGGAGATAGGCACATGGGCGGATGCATCGGCACGCAATCGCCCACTGATCGCCGATGGGGCCCGATGGCCCCAACCTGCCCAGGAAGGTGCGGATTCACGAACGGAGGCCTATCGCCGATCTATCGGCGATGTATCGCCGATTCCAGGTCGATGCATCCCCCCCTATGCCAGTCCCCCCTATCGTTGCCCCTCAGGGGAGCGGGGGGGAGCGAAGAGGGGAAGGAGGGCAAGCTAGGTGCGCAAGCGTCATGTCTGACGTCTTGCCCCTCCCTCCCATCCCTTACCAGTGCGTAGATCTCCTCTCTTTTCGCACAGTCGGACGTCGAACAGGGCCATGATCCCCAGAGAGTACGCGATGCATGATATAGCACTGCGTAGCATGGAATCGCGTCGAGAGCGCGACTCATTTCGACAACAAGGTCAGAAAGAAACCAGACATGACACAGGACGGGCAATGCGAAAGGACGGTTTGGAAAGCGGGAAGCGCAAAATGAGATCAGCGCTGCAGCGGGAGCACGATTCCGAAGGACCGAAACCGCAGAAATGAGACCAGCGCTGCAGTGGGAGCACGACTGGGAAGGACTGGAAGTGCGGAAACAAAGCCAACGCTGCAGCACGAGTACGGCTTGGAGGAACCGAGACAAAGAAATGAGGTCAGCGCTACAGCGGGAGTAAGAATCAGAAGGGTTGAAAACAGGAAAATGGAGCCAACGCTGTAGCGGGAGCGCCATTCTGAAAGGATAGGAAACGCTCGGATCAGAAAAACACATTATTCATCAATTCGCCGGCATCTTTTGTGTCTGCGCGCATAAGAGAAACAATACGCGGAGGAGGCCAGGACACCTCACCAGCGTCTTCGGGGAGAGAGGGGAGTAGTGCTCCTATCGTGTAATCGTGGAAAGGGGGAAGGGGGGAACGAGGGGGGGGCGGGGGGCTGCCGTTGGCGCGTGGAGGCAGCATCCCCCGGCCGTGGAGGGGGCGCTTGGAGACCCCGCGTGCCGCCGCCGCCCGTGGCCCGGCAGGCCCGGCCCGCCCCCACGGTGGCCGGCTGGATCTGGGACCCGGCAGAGGTTGAGGTTCAGAAGCCCGCCGGCGCTCCAACGGGTCCCTCCTCCTCCTCCTCCTCCTCCTCCTCCTCCTCCTCCTCTTCCTCCTCCTCCTCCTCCTCCTCCTCCTCCTCCTCCTCCTCCTCCTCCTCCTCCTCCTCCTCCTCCTCCTGGTCGGCCAGGGCTCCCCGTGGGGGATCCGCGGGGTGGTCGGTGCGGCCAGCCCGAGGTACAAGATCGAGGTCGGTTCGGGGAGGGTACCCTGATGGTTCTCGCGTTTGTGGGATGTTTTGGTGCCTCCTGGGGGGGGGCGCCCTCGAGGGTTCTTCGGTTTTGGCCGGCGGGGGGTCTCAGAGTTCTTCGAGGATGCTCTGCTGTCCCAGGTCCGGCCGTACCTGGCGGACCTGAGGTTCCCCAACCGGTCTGCGCCGTCTCGGAGCGGCTGAGGCCCCCGGCGTGGCAGCGGGAACGGGAACTTAGCGTTAAGTCGGGCATGTCCTTCTACAGGAGGAATGTTCAAAAAGTCAAGAAATAACTAGTACGGGGCTGTTTTCCCATAGCCTGACCATTTTCGACTATCTTTTGCTATTGTAATGTCTCGTCCAGAGTCCCCTTGTAGGAGGACATGCCCGACATAAACATAGGGGACCCTAGTGGTTCCAGATTCCCGCACTCGCTGGCGCACTCCCCCGCTGCTGCCAAGGCGCTCTGGTTCCCGATTTTGACGGCGCCCCCCAGGGGAATTTAGCGGGCCTTAGGAACCCGAGCTTGCCGGCGCTGCCCAGGGCACCCAGCAGACCTTCTGTTCCCGAATTCGCCAGCGCAGAAGGAGGATGAGTAGTAGGAAGACGGCTTAAGCACCGAGTCCCGCTGCCCCGCCAAGGGTGCGAGGCAGAACGGGCGCGCCAAGCAGTGGAACGATGAGGCGTCCCCCACGCCACGCGCCTCGCCCCGCCGGCGGTTGGGCAGCGTGACGTTTCCCTCCCCACACCAGAGTTTGTTCTTCCAGGGATCAGGACGGGCTGGAGGAGGTCAGAGGAGGAAGAGTTTCCTATACCCGTACCCGCCACGGCTGGTTTCGCCTCGGAGTCCTGGCCAGAACGCACACTGGGAGAGGCCAGGGAGTATCGGTGCAAGCCCCCCCCTAACCTGACGCCATGCACCTAACCTGACGCCGGTCCCGCTACCGGTGGGCTGCAGTGGCACCATGGCCGCGGGAACAGGGGGTGACGTGCAGCTCCGGTGAGTGCTTGGAGGGGGAAGACTCTCGAAAAGAATTCTTGACGCTTCGCGTATCCCCACCAGCCCATCTCACAGCAGCAACTCTCGCGAAGCATGCCGACAGTTGTGTTTGTCAGGCGTGTGTCCGCTGGGCTCCGCATATCTCCCCTGTTCCTCCTTCCTCCCGCCTCGCCCTGGTGTGAGTCGTTCGGGCCCCTCGTCCTGGTGTGAGTCGTTCGGGCTCCTCGTGGGGCCTCTTGGGGGCCTCTTGGAGCCTCTTGGGGCCTCTTGGGGGCCTCTTGGGACCCTCTTGGGAGCCTCTTGGGGGCCTCTTGGGGCCTCTTGGGGCATCTTGGGGGCCTCTTGGGGGCCTCTTGGGGCCGCTTGGGGGCCTCTGGGGGGTCTCTTGGAGGCCTCTTGGGAGCCTCCTGGGGGCCTCTTGGGGCCATCTTGGGGCCTCTTGCGACCTCCTCAGAAGCGCAAAGAAGAGCTACCCCTTGAGAAGGACAAAATGAGGCCAAAACCTTCGTAAAATCAATGATTTTGCTATGAAGGACGATGAGCGCTGCCCCCTCAGAAGTCCAAAATGGGGCCAAAACCCTTAGTAAAATCAATGAATTTGGCTTCACAGAAGAGGAGAGGGTTTTTTCTCTATCCCCCCGTCGGGGCCAGAATCCTCGTGAGGGTCGTCGTTTTTTGGCCCTCCCAGGAGTCGAAAAAGACCCCCCTGACCACCCGCGGGACTCCTTCTCCAGGCCCAGTGGGAGGGGGTAGGGGGAGGGGTAAACCCCTCCCCGAAGGGGAAGAAGGGGGGTTGAGGACAGAGCGGGCTCTCTAAACCACTCACGCCCAAAGGGCTGATGGGATTTCCTACCTGAGCGCCAGCCAAATTCCAGCAGTCCGGCCGTAGCGCTGGCCGCGTGTACTGATATTTGTTTGTCCCTTCGAGAAGGGGAGGAGGAGAAGGAGGAAGGTGGAGAGGAGGAAGGGAAGAGAGGTCAGGAGGGAAAGGGGACGGAGGGTGAGGATGAGGAGGAGGGAGGAATGAGGAGGGAAGAACGAGAAGGGAGGAAGGTGAGGAGAAGGACCTCCGCCCATCCATCCCCACAGAATTGGTCTTCCTCCGCTCAAGTTCATCGTCTTCCTCGTCCGTCCTGTGTCCTCACATCCTCCTCTTCTGGTCCACATCATCCAGCCTCTTTCTCATCATACTCATTTTCGTCCTAGTCGCCCTCCCTGTTCTGCCCCTACTCTCAATTGATGATCATTGCATGTTCTAGTTTGGTTTTTGTTGCTCCTTCATATGAGCTGCGGTGGACATGGGATCTCAGACGGGTGTTCCAGCAGCCTGGGAAGAGGAGGGAGAAAGGAAGACGGCGAGGGCGACGACGATTCCCGCCTTGTGACGCGCGGCTCTCTCTCTCTCTCTTTCTCTCTCTCTCTCTCTCTCTCTCTCTCTCTCTCTATATATATATATATATATTTCTCTGTCTCTATAGGAGTGTTCGAAAGCCTGAGTCCCCCGCACCTTCGATGCTCTTTCGCTCCTCCTCTTCTGGGTCGGCGATTCCCTTCTCATTGCGGGTGGGCGGGCCGGCCCCGACAGGCGTTGGGGCCGGGTCGGCCGGGCGGACCCGGACTCGCGCGGCCAGGATCGGTCAGCGGACCTCTTTGTCGGAGCGGATCGGCCGGCGGACCCCCACTGGGGCGGTCGAGCTGGAAGGGCGCGGGGAGGGAAGAAGGAGGAGGACGAGGGGGAAGCAGGCGGCCGAAGGGGGGGGAGGAGGAGGAGGAGGAGGAGGAGGAGGAGGAGGAGGAGGAGGAGGAGGAGGAGGAGGAGGACGAGGACGAGGAGGAGGAGGAGGAGGAGGAAGATGAGGAGGAGGAGGAGGAGGAGGAGGACGAGGACGAGGAGGAGGAGGAGGAGGAGGAGGAGGAGGACGAGCGGTGAGGACGACGAGCGGTGAGGAGAAGCGCAACAGTCATTCCTGGCCCTCCCAGCATTGGGTTTACGAGACCGACCTGGAATGCGAGCAGTTGCGCATGTTACACTGGGATGACATTGAAATTCGTTGTAGCGAGGCCGTCGAAAAAGTCAAGAAGGCTGGAATCGACGAGTTGCACCTCATCGACACGGAGGTCAAAGCATCCGTCGACGGCAAATTAGCTTATGTGCAAGGTTGGCTCGACGCCGAGAAGAGAATGAAGACGGTAGACGAGCTCAACGCCAAGAAGCGCAAAGGACGCGGATGCCAAGGCGGCGGCTGCTCACGGAGCTCCAGCTTCGGTGGGCGGCCGTGCAGCACCAGCGGCGGAAGCGGGCCCAGTTTCTCCTGCACGAGCGGCTCGCGCCATCAGTGCATCAGTTCCCGACGACGCCATCGGCGGCGAGCGGGAAAGTCAGAAGGAGAGGGCCCTCTCAGAAGGTTCGGAAGTCCCGCAGCTTTCTGTCTGAGAAGTTGTCTAAGCTTTCCCAAGACACAAAAAAAACCTCTCAGAAGGCGCGAGGGCTTCCGAGAGGTCCCGCCGCCTTCTGAGAGGGCTTGCTCCTTCTCGCTTCCCCCCCTCGCTCGCCGCCGACGCCAACGAGGCAGCGACCAAGATCGAGGCGGCCAGAATCAGCGCTGCCGAGATCCAGAGACGGCCGAGGCAGCGGCGAGGGCGGGCGACCAAGATCGAGGCGGAGGCGAGCGCCTTAGCTTTCAGTCGGGCATGTCCGTCTACACGAGGAATACGCAAGAACGATAGAAAAATTGTCTGGTGACGATGTTTCGTGTTTTTGTTTGACTGTGTTTTATTATGCTCTGGCTACTTCTTTCTGTTCTTCCAAAATCCGCCTGCAGGAGGATACCAAGCTTAGCCCCACCGGCAGCCGCAGCAGGTGCCGCGGCGACGGAGTGACCGTCGGCGCGCGTCTGAGACGCAGCAGGCGACGCTGCTAGTTCGACGGCCGCTCCGCCATCATCGGTTTCAGCTGCCGCGGGCTGGTTGGGACCCAGAGCCTCTGCCCGCTCGGACTTTGGCGAAGGGATTCCAACGAACAATCAGAGCTCTGAGGGTTCTGGGCCTACCTATTCGCCTTGTCCTGCCCAGCATTTCTTGCTAAGTTTGGGCAGCAGGCTTTTACTGTATGGCCAGCAGAATGATACCAAGTACCCTGCGTTTGGTTTCGTCAAGTCTCATGCCGGTGAGCCCGGCATTGGTAAGTGGATTCGTGAGGCCAGAGCCATGGATATGCGATCGTTGTTGATTCCCGCTGGACCGTTTGGGGGCCAAGTCATCCCAGTCGAATGCACAGGCTAAGGAAGGACGGGAGATGACATTCGTGCAAGGGTGCCTTGTATGGGGGACTCCAACGTGGGTCCTGAACGTGTAGTTTTCAGCAAGTTTCTCGGCGTTGTCGATTGCGTGGTGTGTCAAAGCTTCTATTGAACACGCGTGCGTCACAGGGGTCTGGTTCATGGGCAAGTTGTCGTTCTCGTTTATAGCAGTTCTGCTCTGGAGCACCTCAAAGGATTATTACAAGACGCGATGGACGTTCCTTGAGGAGGACGGGGTGAGGGGCGCATTGCGGGCACGTGCTGACAATGGCAGGAGACACGACCGAGGGGGTTGGCGAGGGCCTGGAGGAAAATGAGGGAGGTGCGGAGGAGGATGGGAAGAGAAGGAGGAGGAGGACAGGTATGATATTGCATACCCCCATTCAACACCGAACAGCGAATATGACTCGTCCTCGTCGCCACCGCTGCCGTCGTCGCTGTCCTCCTCAAAAATCGGCCTCGGATTTCTCTTGGGGCGCGTTCTGGCCAGAGACTCGAGATAGACCCAGCCGTGGACGAGAAGCCCTCGGGAGCCCCAACGGCTCAAAGTCGTGATTTCTAAGCCGATCTAAAGTTAACCACCGCCATTTCGGACAGCGGCCCAGCGAGCATGTTTCTGTGACGAGGAAGTGGCACGGTCCCGCAGGTGGAGCATGCCTTTCCTCGATCGTCGTCGATCCTCGTCATTGTTTTCCTCCTGCAGAGGAGATGGCCCTGCCCCGCAGGTGGAGGACCTTTACCGCCTGCAGTTCTGTGGCTGGAGGGACGCCCGCGGGCCCAGCTGGCCTGTCCGATCCTGCTCGCGGGGCGGTTGACCGGCGGCGGCGTCATCGACAGCGACGACGTCGTTTTGGATGTGTTCGGGTGTTTCTGGAGTTTCTCGTCGACGACGGCGTCGTATTCTTTACAGCAGAGGAGAGCGCTTTCAACCACAGATCGTGCTCCTTGAGGTATGTTCGCGCGTTCTCCTGAAGTGTTCTTCGCTGGTTATTGTTCCTTCCATCGGAAGCGAAGATCATGTCTCAAGAAAAGTCATGGGGATCTGACCATAGAGGTATAGACATCATCGTTTTCCTGTTCATTGGGCGTTTCCAAAGGTTCCCGTCGCCATGGCAAGACGCGGCCCGAACACGAAACGCGTGAGGGGTGTGCCGAAGCGTTCGCGACGCTTACATGCAAACGTTCCCTCCGGGGCATTCGGTGGAGCCCCCAGTGGGGCCACGAAGCGTGCGAGGAGTGCCCCGAAACAGCCGTAACGCCCACATGCGAATAGCCCTTCTGGGGCCTCCAGAGGGGCCCCCATCTGGGGCCACGAAGCGCGTGAGGGGTATGCCGAGACGGGCGTGACGACGCCCACATGCGAACAGTCTTTTTGGGGCCTTCGGTGGAGCCCCCTTTATGGGGGCACGCAACGCGCGAGGGGTGTGCCGAAACGGGCGTGACGCCAACATGCGAACGCTCCCTCTGGGGCCTTCCGCGGGGCTCCCCACGGAGCCACGAAACGCGTGCGGGGTGTGTCGAAACGGGCGCGGCGCCCACATGCGAAAGTTCCCCCTGGGGGGTGGAGCTTCGTATGGGGCCACTCGACGCGTGAGAGGTATGCCGAAACGCGCGCGGCGCCCACATGCGAAGGCTCCTCCTGGGGCTTTCGGTGGAGCTCCCAATGGGGGAAAGAAATGCGTGAGGGGTGTGCCGAAACAGAAACATGCGAAGTGCAGAGGCAGGAATGGGAGGAGGGAGGGGGGCAGAGGAGAGGTGGGACGCGGGGCGCTGCCTCTTCAAAACGAGGACCCAACCGGGATGGTTGGGTACAAATATCGGTGAAGGGGGGGGAGGGGCTACCCCTCCCGAAGGGAAGAATCGGGTTGGAAGAGGAAGTAAGAAGCTCGTTAGACCACTTACGCCCTAAAGGGCTGGTGGGATTCGCCCTCCTACTCCTCAAGGGGGCCCTAGGGGGGGAGCATTCGGCCGGCGAAGGGGAGAGAGCAGAGGGACGGGACGGGGAGAGGGGACAGGTGGCGTCAAACCGAAGTTTGGGATCAGTTTGGGTAAACCCAGAAGTAATCACATACGAATGCCGTCGCGGCCCTGTCGAATGAGGAGCAGGCGGAGGAGGAAGGATGAAGAGAAGATGTGATGATGAAGAGGAGGAAGATGACTGAGGAGGAGGAGGAGCAGCAGCAGGGACGCGAGCAGAAGGAAGATGGGTTTGATGGAACATGCTCCCATGTAATTTCTGGTGGAGTATTGGTTGAAGGAAGAGGAGGAGGAAAAGGAGGAGGAGGAGGAGGAGGCGGAGGAGAAAGAAGGAGGAGGAGGACGAGGAGCGGGATGGGGAGGATGAGGAGTAGGAAGGATGAGTTGGGAGGATGAGTAGGAGAAGGCTGATGGGGAAGAAGACGACGACGACGTTGATTCAACCCTTCGAGGCTGGTTTTACGGATAGTTCTCTCTTGGATTTTCTTGGAGCCATATGGGAGCTTTATTGTTGCGATTCCGGGTGTCTTTGGGGCACTAGTTAGGGCTCGCTTGGAGCCTTCTCGGTGGTCTTGGGGCCATCTTCGAGACCCTCGAGTAAAAATGGGGCGACTCCGAAGAGGGTCGCCCCTCTTGAGCCCCACAACATGCTTATTGGGCCGAACGTTCCTGGGGCCCTGGTGGGCCTTTCTATGTGCTCGCTTGGGCCATATTGTAGCCATCTTGAGGCATCAGAAGCCCATTGAAAGCGAAAAGGCGAGAAGGCAAATACCCTTTGTTCCTCATAGGTTGTGGATAGGTGTTGGCCTGATGGGGGCATGGATCCGTCTTGGGGGTATTGTGGTGCCTCTTGTAGCATGTTCCATCTTGGAAGCTATCCTGGATAATGTAAAACCGCATTGGAGACATCTTGGGCCATCTTGGACGGAGTCCCCCTCCCGTCCAGACGCAGCGGGAGGGAGTAGGGGGAGGGATCAAGCTACCCACAAGCACCAATCCGTCTCGCTCAATCTCACCTGCCCGCCCAACTCATACGTAGCACCCGAGTTTCAACATGGACAGAGGCCGACGTCGACAACGATCGGGAACCAATGTAGACGCCAGCCAGCTGCGCGAAGACCGCGAGGTGCGCCGCACATGCCAACTGCGGCACGCGCACCAGGTGTGCCGCATCCGGCAATATGTCGACCCTCCCACCGTCCCTGTCAAAGACCATGCAAAGTTACGGCGGATTTGTCGCGTGCGGATGTGCACCCACAATCGTTTGGCATTTGTTTGGTGGGCCTTCGCGCAGCAGGCGGGCAGTATGCCGCCGCCCCCCCGCCGTCCCTTGCAAAATGAGCAAGTTGTTGTTTTCCTTGTGAACAAGATCATGGGCCTGCACGCAGCAGGCAGTATACTGGAACCCCCACCATCCTTGTCAAAAGCATACGAAGTGGTAGCACGAGGCGTCCGTGCATGATCCAGATTTGGCGCAGCAAAGTGCATTTTGTAGTGTGTTTTGCGAAGGAAGGCTGGGGTGTGTTGGCACTGCAAACAGCAGGCAATATGCTGCCCCCCCCCGCCGTCCCTCCCTGTCAAAGACCACTGCGAAGTGATCGCGGTGCGTCCGCGCATGATCCAGATTTTGGTGCAAAGTGCACTTTGTGATGTTTTTGTCCTAGGGATCGTGCGGGGGTGTTGGCCTGCGCGTAGCAAGCAGTACCGTGGCCCCCCGCCGTCCCCGCCAAGAACAATGCAACATGGTCGCGGGGCGTCCGCGCATGCTCCAGATTTGGAGGCAAACTATATGTTGCATCGTTCTTTGTGTTGAGGTGCATAACACACTTGATGTATCTTAGTGCACTGATGTAGGGCAGAGCAGAGTAGCATGTAGATTAGAGCAGAGTAGCACAGCAGGGAGGTAGCATAGCGAGACATGTTGCACTCCGCAGCCATCTGGTCCTAACAGGAAAAATATTCGTCACTTTGACAGGCATGGGAGGGGAACAATGATCAAGCTTCCCCCATCGAGGGACGGCCGTCTCGCTCACTCCCATCCGCCCTCCCGCCCCACAAGTATCACTCGAGTCTCAGCATGGGCAAGGGCCGCCATGGTCGGGAACCAATGCGGACGCCAGCCAGGTGCGCGACGTCCACGAGGGGCGCCGCGCGTGCTAGGGCACACCCATCAACCTATTCAACGAACAATGCACAATGATCGCGGGGCTCCCGCGCATGATCGTTGCCGGAAACTGTATTTGGCATTGTTTGTTGAAATGCATGATGTGCTTGCTGGGAGCAGGCAATCTGCCGGCACCCCTTGCGTCCCTGTCAAAAACCATGTCACGTGATCGTTTGGTGCCCGCGCATGGCCCATATTTTCCGCAATATGCACTTTATAGTGTTTCTTGACAGGGACGGTTGGGAGGTGTTGGCATTGCACACCGCATGCACCGTGCTGGCCCCCCCCCCCGCTGTCCTTGTTAAAAACCACTGCTGTGTGATCGCGGGGCGACCGCACATGATCCAGATGTTGGTGCAAAGTGCAGCTCGTCTTGTGTTCTGCAGGGGGGGGTGGGGGGTGCTGGCAATGCACAAGGCAGACAGTACGCCGGCCCCCCTGCCGTCCCCTCCAAAAACCAGCGCAAGGTGACCGCGGGGCGTGCGCGCACGATCCAGATCCTGGTGCAAAGTGAATGTTCTATTGTTCTTTTTGCAGGGTGTGGTGGGGGGCTCACAGTCCCGGGTGTTTCGCCAGTCGGTGTACATCAGTCAGGGGCAGTGAGAGACTCCAAGGTGTGAAGATATCACGCTATGGACCACCACCGCAGAGATGGCTGGTGGGATTGGCGGGGGCGGGAGAGGGGATGGGAGAGGGGCAATCGAACTGCACCCGCGCCACATCTGACATCCAACCTCTCCCACCCATCCCTCACCTTCCTTTGAGGAGGGGTAGGAGGAGAAGGAGGAGGAGGAGGAAGAGAAGAAGGTGAAGGCGAAAAGCAAGGTGAACATGTGTAGGAGCAGGAGGAGCAGGAGTAGCAGCAGCAGCAGGAGGAGGACGACGACGACGTGGAAGAGGAGAAGAAGAGGAGAGAGAGAGCGCGAGACGGGGAGGGAAGCCCCTCCCTGGCGCCCCCTCGGCGCTGCACAGGCTTCCTGGGGCCTGGGGAGCCCTCCTGGGGCCTCCTGCGGCCTCCTTGGCCTCCTGCGGCCTCTTGGAGCCCCCCTCGGCAGTCCTGGTGTTCGCATGCCGCCCTCGCGCCGCGCTCGCCGCCGCTCCAGCGCGGCCGCCGCGCTCCTCCGAGGCCGCGGAGTACTCCACCGTGCACGGGGAGCCGAACAGGCCCCAGGGGGGGTGGCATAAGAATGCCGAGGGCAATAATACAGAAAAGAGGGCAGATCACAACAACAACAACAACAACAACAACAACAACAACAACAACAACAACAACAACAACAACAACAACAACAACAACAACAAGAAGAACAAGAACAAGAAGAAGAAGATGAACAAGAACAAGAACAACCACAACAACAACAACAACAACAACAACAAAAACAAAAACAAAAACAAAAACATCCGAAACCTCCGAGGGTTTTTTGGGATACCTTCGGTGGGTTCCCATACCGTCGCGGGCGGGGTGGGGCGGGCAGAGATCGCAAACAAATCGCGCAGGTGAGGGGACGGGGGAACGATGACGACGACGACGACGACGACGACGAGGAGGACGACGAGGAGGATGACGGGGGGGACGGGGACGAGGAGCAGGAGAAACTGGCCAAAACCTAAGGAAAATCAATGTTTTGTGCTTTTTCGCTTGTTCGCTCTTGGAGCCGTCTTGGGCCATCTTGGACGTCCCAACGACCCGCGGAACCCCTCGTCCAGGTCGGTGGGGAGGGGCAAGGGGAGGGGTAAACCCCTCCCCGAAGGGAAAGAAGGGGGTTTGCAGATGAAACGCTCTAGACCACCTACGCCCTAAAGGGCTGGTGGGATTTGGGGATTGAAGGATTGTAAGATCGAGCTGGTTTAGAATCTCTCATTCTTTCATCTTTTCAATCCGAAGCTATTCAGAATGTTGAGGGCTGGTGTACGTTGAGAGGTGCAACGGCTGCTCCAAGGCAGTTACCAAAGCTATCTCCCAACCGTGCACGGGAGGGCTGGCCAGGAAGGTTGGCCAGGCTAATCGGTGCAGGGGAAGCTTGCACCGTCGCGAAGTATCATAGCGCGCCAGCTCGCGCTGGGCAATGCCAGTGTTGTTGTCAGGAAATTCAGTCCCGGCGCGCTGGCTCGCTTCTCGCGCGCGTTTCTTTGCCTGAATCGGTTCTTCGGGGTTGCCCCGGGGGCTGGCGAGCGTAATTATTCGATCCGTGATCCTTCCTATCACATACCGCACAAGGTAATTAGGCATGCGAGGCTGGGAGAAGTCGGACGGGGCTGGGACGAGGTTAATCCGTCCGAGACCTTTCCAGAACGCTTTCATAGCGTCCCGGAACGGTTCTGCGAAGGCCGCGGCGCCCGAAGCGACGGGCGAAGAAAATGCGGTCCTTGATGGGGCGCGCGGCGAAGGAGAGCCTGACAGCGGATAAGGCCCGCTTCGGGGGGAGGCAGCGCAGGACCCCGTGCACTCGCTCGTGCTGGGCAAGTTGGACGGCCGCGCTGCGGAGGAGTTGACGAAGTCTTCTGGCGCGGAGCACGCGACGCGGTTCGCGCTCAACCCCGAGCTCCAGTTTGTGTCGTGGGCGACGGACTTGCAGGGCAGCAGGAATTGCGGAAGTTGGCGCAGCGGTTCCTGCACGGGCGCGCTCCTCTGAACACAGTCGTGACGAACCAGTTCCAGGACGCGAAGACGTGGAACCGCTTGCACGGCGCGCGCGCGCCCGCCGATGCCCCCAGCCCCGGCGGAGGCGCTGGCCGCGGCAGCGGCGCTAGGCGCGCCCGAGGAGACGGGGGCGAAGCCCGCCACGGCGAAGGCGCACGCAGCCCGCGACGCCCGGCAGGAGGCGAGCCCGGAGGCCACGCAGGCCGCATTGCCCAGCAAGGATGCGACGCAGCATCGCATGCTCGCCGCGCTGCCGAGCGAGATGTCGACCTAGTTCACCATCGTCGAGAGCACGGAGCAGGTCTGGCGCTGGGCGGACCGGCAAAACAGGCTGCCGTGGAGCGCCACAAACTAACGGCCCGTGACCACGCACAACAGAAGAAGCATCGTCGACGCTAACCCAGGCGGGCGCGGCAAGGCGGGCGGGCGGCCGCCGCCCCCGTCGGCGCGCTTCGCGCCGCCAGAGTCGCCGCGGGAGCGCGCTTTCGCGGAGGCGGCGTCGCGCTCGGGCGCGGCGCCCGGCGGAGGGGGCGCCGCAGACGCGGGCGCGGCGGCGATGTAGGACGAGCCGCCGGAGCAGCGGCGCGACGCAGGAAGGGGTGTTCGGGCGACGTTCGCGGCCGCGACAGCGTTGCGAGCGATTGTAGTTCCCGGCGTAGAAGCGCAGTTCAGATTCTGCTAGGGGCGGAGGAAGGTCAGGGAGAGAAAGAGAGAGAGAGAGAGAGAGCGAGAGAGGGAGGGACAGAGAGAAAGAGAGAGATAGATATATAGAGAGAGAGAGAGAGAAAAACAAACAAAAAAACAAACAAACAAAAAAATGGGGGAAGGAGAAGGAAGAGGGGAAAGAGAATCAGAAAGATAAATATAGATAGAGAAGAGGAGGAGAGAAACAAAAAACATATATATATATATATATATATATATATATATATATATAAATAATATATATATATATATATAATATATATATATATATAAAAAAAAAAAAAAAAAAAAAAAAAAAAAAAAAAAAAAAAAAAAAAAAAAAAAAAAAAAGGAGAGCGAGATATCTATATATAGAGAGAGATACGGTGGAACAAAGAAAGATAAAGGAAGAGACAGAGAGGGAAATAGAGAGAGAAAGAGAAAGAAAGAGAGAGAGAGAGAGGAGAGAGAGAGAGAGAGGACAAAAGAATGAGACAGCCTTCGAATTGGCGCGAGCGCGCAGGGGCGCGCGCCCGACGCGCGGGCGCGCTAAGCAGGGGAGAAGCGGGCGGAGGAGGAGGAGGAGGAGGAGGAGGAGGAGGAGGAGGAGGAGGAGGAGAGGGCGACGGGAGAGGAGAAGAAGGCGGAGCAGGAAACGGAGGAAGGGAAAAGATGAGGGAGGCAGAGGAGGAGAGGAGCAGGAGGAAGAGGAACGGGGGAAGCCTGAGATGTCTCAGCGGTTTCTGAGGGAGCGGAGCAGCAAATGGACGCACAGCACACAACCCTTCGCGCGGCAGCGCCTGGGACAGCGGCAGACGAGTCGGGCGGGGGGGGAAGAGGGGGAGGGCGACGCGAGAGGAGGCGCGGGGGGGGGGGAGGAGGAGAGGAAAGAAGAGGGAGAGGAGGAGCGCGGAACCCCTCAACGGCCCCAGGGGGCAACGGGGCAGGCGCATCACGCAACGTACACTGGGCCTCACGCGGCAACGCCCGGGAACTGCGGCGGGCGAACACGGCGCGCTCGAGGTCGCGCGCCAGCGGCGAAGACCACGCCCGAAGCATGGCACTGCACCCAGCTTGTGACGCACGAGGCGCGCTACACTCCACGCGGCAAGTCGCCCGCGGTCGCGGGCGCGCGGCAACTCCACGCGGCCGGCGGGGCATTGCGGAAAGCCTCTCGACAGCGCCTTGGAAGCAGTGCTTTGACTCTGCGGGCGCCTCCGGGAAGCGCGCGGGGATCTCGGAACGCACTCTGCGGACATGCGCGGGAGTTCCTGCGCCCCGGACCGGCGCCGCGGGGGATGCCCCGGCGACGCCGGCCGGGGCGACTTTGGCGCTCGTTCGCGGCCGTCGTCGGCCGTCGCGGGAACCCGCCGAGAGACTCGCGGGATGTCTGCGGGCGATTTGCGCGGCAAATCGGATGGTTGATAGGGCGTCGCGGGTGGCCTCTCGAGAGCGCCTCGAAAGCAGCGCTGCGACTCGGCACCCGCATCCTAGGAACCAGTTCAAAGACTCTTGGCGCGGTTTTGGGGCGATGGCGGAGCCCTCTGGGACTCTGGGATTGTCCTGGACGGTGCGAAAGTTGACGACGCGACTGCGATGCAACTGCGCGTCGTCGCCTGGCGAATCGCAGGAACCTTGCTTCAGCAGGGTGTCCAGGGAGGCGCAGCGCGAACGTCGTGACGCGCCCGGGGAGTTTGGGATGCTCGGTTGTGACCGGAGAAGAACGGGCATCGAAGATGAAGAACAATCGCTCACCCAGAGAGCTTCAGAGTCAAAGCTTGAAAGAAATGGATCATTGAAACGTCGCCCACCCCGGCATTCAAGGATTGAAAGAGTGAAAGGATTGAAAGATTCAATGATCTGGGTGCTGCGATATGGGATCGAAGGATTGGGTACATGAAAGATCGAAAGATATGTGATTCTGGGAGCCTCAGATTGGAAGAATGAAAGATTGGAAAATCTTTCAATCCGGGGCCCCGGGATTGAAAGGTTGAAAGATTGGAAAAATTTTGAATCCGGCGCCACGGGCGTGAAAGGGTGGGAAAGTTCAAAGAGTGAGAGATCTTCCAACATGTCGATCTTTCATTCCAGGATCCTTGGACTTATGAATCTTCCAATACTTCACTCCGAGATCCCCAGATCGAGGGATCTCTCAGTCTTTCAAGCCTTCCTGAATTTCTCAAAATTTCTCAATGCGAGCAGGCCCCTGCTCGAAATGACTAACCACCAGAGTTCACACACACACACCCCTTAGTTACTTCAGGTTCCTCCCTTGTCTCTCTCTCTCTCTCGTTCTCTTTCTCTTCCATCCGTCTGTCCGTCGCTCTACATGTACTTTTCTTTCCCACCAGCCAGCGACTCTTGGAGCGCGTGCTCCTGGAGTCGCCTGGCAGTTTGTTTGGTAGGCCCCCGGGGCCGATTGGCCCTGGAGGGGAGGGGCAACATCCGCTGAGCAAGGCACGATTGAGGTCGCTTGCCAGTTCCGGCCCCTGGGGGGCCCGCTTCGGGCATAGAGACCGTCGAAGAAAGATTTAGGAAAAAAGCAGGCACGGGGGAGGGGTCGCGAGCTCCAGAGACCCCGTGTTGGACAAGCGCAACGCCCGAGGTCTCGGGAGGCGGACCAGGAGGAGGATCGGGGCCAGCGTAGATCCAAGATCCATCAGCAGACGACGCTGGAATAACTCCCCCGAGCTCCCTCCTCGTAGGCCCCCACAAGGATTCACGCCCACTAGGGGGGTGCCCCGCTGGGAGAAAGCCGCTTGAAGATCCTGAAGCGCGCCAAAATACCAATCTCGGGACTCCAACGCCACGAGTACACCGGACTGTTGCGCACTGACGA